CCGATCTTCTTATTCTGAATCGTTCGCATAAATTTGATGCTAGGAAGATAAAACCTGCATATCGTACCTTAATATTGCTTTTAAGGAAACATGAGCGCATGCTGACGAATGATGCTGACTGCTAACGTTGACTATCGTGACTTTGGCGAGACACTGACATAATATTAAATATTTACTTAAATTATTAGCTGTCCATATATATATTTATAAGATTCGAAATATTATCTACTTTATCTTTGATACAGATATTATGACTTGTTCATATATATGGAAGTCTATAACAAAATATTATTATAAATATAAAATATTATTATAAAATATAATATATATATATATATATAATTTTTGAAAACTGTCGCAAAATTATCGCACTTTCCAATTTAATATACGTAGAGAGAGAGACAGACAGACAGGCAGATAGAGAGAGAGAGAGAGAGAGAGAGAGAAATTCATCTTATTAAAATAGCAACATTTTTCATAAAAATATTATAAAAAGAGTTTACAATCAAAATATTTATAATAAAACTTAAAAAATGTAATAATATACTACTAAAACAAACAGAAAATACTTTCATTAAGAATATTTTGTATATATATTTTATCAAAACTATCGCATAAATCTCTTTCTTCCTTTTCAATTTTTTAGGATTTGACATTAGCGATTTTATTAATTCTTGTAAACCAATTCTTGTAAGCAATTGTAAGTACCGTTAAGAATAAATTCCATTCTCAACTGCATCAGCCACCTTTCTCCTGTACCGTTTAGTCCTCATTCTTGCTGTGTTCACGAAACATTTCGACTGACTGGTCGATAACAAAGTCTGATTAAATGTTACTTTAGGAAGGATTTAACAGTCAAACATAACGAGTTTGTTGAAACAGATAGTTGACAATTGCGTTTAAAAAGAACTGTGAAGTATTGGTTAAGTTGAGTAAAGAAAACATTGCAAAAATGTGGCTGTTCCATAGTCAGTGCACTAGTAAGGCGCGTCTCGTAGGCAAGACAGTGGTTATAACAGGAGCAAATACCGGGATCGGCAAAGAAACTGCCAGAGATCTCTACAGAAGAGGTATTTTCACAGTTACATCTCATAATTTTTTAAATTTTAATAAATGCACAGTTTTTTGAAATGATGATTTATTAAACTGAGAGAGAGAGAGAGAGAGAGAGGGGGGGGGGGAGAGAGAGAGAATTTATGTGTGTACATATCTGTATGTCATATTTGTCTAATTACTTCGCAAAATTATAATTTTAAATTCTGTGTGTTTATTCTTGTTCTGGTGATTATAATTTTAAATTCTGTGTGTTTATTCTTATTCGTGCGCTTTATTCTTGATAGTGATAGATTTATATATTTTCTGGTACTTAAGATATATCCCAAATATTCAAAAAGACATTCTTGAACAAAATTTGGTTTACAAATAGCTAATCATATTTATAATATTAAAGTTTCAAGTTTAACACATAATAATGTATAATATATAATATAAGAAAATATATAATAAAGTAAAAAAATAATATTTA